CGTGGCGCGTTTGGCGCCTCCGGCGGAGCCCGAACGTGGAGGGCTAGCCCCCATTTGTGGGGCGCAAAGCGATTCGGTAGCAGGGACTTCCCTATTTTCAATATAAACCTATTTGCATACCGATGCATATTAATTTAACGCACATCCATGCGTGTTTTACTGGTGGAAGACTCCTTGCTCTGGATTAAAAAGGTGTAGCTGGGGGTTGATGCACAGGTGTAGTTTATGCTTCTCTAGTTATTAACGTGTCCTCCCAGCCAGACCACTTACGTTGCCTTTGAGTTACTCTGAGCATTACTCTTTCATGCGAATGTGGCAGTAGGAGAGGTGAGTATTGTTAAGCCAAAACCACACCTTGTCCAGAATTGATTTGCTTCTATGTTTATTTTTGTCTTTCCCCTTCTAAAAAGAGGCTTCTGGCTTTTCAATGAACCAAGTAACGATGGCTAGCAGGCACTGTAGTTCTCTCACAGCTCCATGTTAGGGGAAGAATCTGAGTGGAAAGTATTAATTAGTGTGTTTTCTTCCAGCGTTTCTAATTCTGGCGTGTTTCCACTCTTCCAGAGGCCGTAGTTCTGCTCTCTCTGCAATGTTAATATACAACAGTGTTACATGAAGCAAGATGGTTCTTTGAAAATGTGCTGATGCTAGTTATCGATTAAACATGTACCTTGTCTTCTGGGCTGAAAGTGTTGCATTTAAGATGATTCTGTAACATGGTTGTCATATTTGTGTTATAGGCCAATGTGAATCAAAAAGCCTTAAGTCTTCAGCTGTATTGCATGGTGTAAGAAGATACCTTTATTTGGGCAACTAAATTCAGGTAAAAAGCACCTACTTGCACGTAGCTGACTACAAAATCGCTGTGCAAATTCAGAATAGAAGAGAATACTGTTGTCATTGTCATTCTTCCTTCTCTGACTCCCTACCCCAAAAAATAGATGTACGCCCACAGTTTGGTTCACCGGTGATTGCCTTCAGCGCTAACATCTGGACTTCATGCATCTCAGTGCAAATTCAGAGCCATTAGTCTGTGTTTAACTGCTGTTTTGCACCAGGCAGTGCTGGTCCATTACAGTCCCGATAAGAAAGGCACTCAGACTCTGTATATCATCCCAAATGAGGTTTGTTAGAGCTAACCCTATAAAGAAAGAGGATAGCGTTGATAATCTTGCATCCCTTCAGGTGATGGGAACCCTGAGCTGTGCAGCATTGAACAGACCTCCGATTCACGCACAGCGTGTTGTGCAGACCCTGTCCTTAGAAAGGGTTACCCCATTTCAGTCACCTGAGCTATTATGGGTTCTCTTACAAGAAAACAACTCTATTTATCATTTCTACTGTCAAACAGAAAGGATGCTCGCATGAGAACTTCCTGCTTTTTTAGATAAAGGCAAGGACACGTAGGTGGCCTAATTGCAGGTACCAAGTGGGAGCTGCCTGCAGAGTCCCCTGTTACAACTAGCTGCTGAGCTTATCCTGCAGCCATGGGTTGTGCATCCCACAGCACAGGCCTGAAGGCCACGCTGTACATGAAGCGCAGCACAAGGTAAGCCTGGACCTACTCAGGTTAACCATTATGTGGATCACCAGCTCCTTGGCGTACAATGGCCTTCAGGTCAGGATCACTCCAACTACACTATTATGTCTCTCTGTAAAACAAGCACGCTGTTTGGTGTCTGCTGTAAATACACAAAAATATGGCTTGAGAAGCTAAGCAAGAAATTGAAAATACAAACTTTCTGTGTGAACATGTCCATCAGCTGGGACTTAATTATCTGAGGAAAATGATAACAACATGGAGAAGGCAGAGCTATTTTGGGATAGTATGCTGTGTGAATGCTCTGCTTTGAAAACATCCATTCCTCCTACATAGTCAGCCATTCAACCAACATTGCATGCATCCACTCTTGGTTTTGTTTGGCTTTTTGTTAAACAAATAACATTCATGTGTTTGGACACAGCTGAACTTGGGAAGTAACTTCCTCAGCTTCTGCTGAAATCAGCTAGCCAGCTTTGGGGCTCATCCTGAATGCGGTTTCTTTTTAACAGTTTGACCAGAAACGTAGATTGTGAGGATGTTGGGACACACTGTAAAACCTTCCTTTCTGATAAAAAGCTTTGCCACTGTGAGCAGATTGCTGTTTGCAGCAGCTATAAAGCCAGCAACAGGTAACGGAAGATCCTGCTGGACCTTTGTTCTGTTGAATTTCACAGGGAAAACGCTTGGACGTTACAGTGCTAAGCATAAGAGAGAAGCCCAGGCTCAAAGTGACTATTGACTTTGCATAATCTTTTGTCATTCTCCCTTTAGTAGCAGAAGAATGCTACTCCTCTTTGAATTTGTGCTAATTCAGGTGTGTGGAACTTTGCTATTATAGCAATGTTAGCTGTTGCATTCTGTTGGTACTTGAAATGCGTGTTATGCAAGAGTTGTGTTCATAGTCTCGAATTTCCATCAGAGTCCACATGCAGATTTTGGCAGTATGGGAACAAGGAATCTTTCAGCTCTTTAAAAGATAGTGTCCCTTTCTGAACGAGCGGGGAGACAGAAAAGAGCAGGAACACAAAGTTATTTTGGGATTCAAAACACATAAATATGTAAGGACCTACTGCATTTTAGCTTGCTTTGCACACAACTATTTCTAGTTCTATGTCAGAATGATTAAAAGAAAATTATATATGCACCAGTTTTATGTGATTTGTGTACTGAGGTGTTATTTCCTAGTGTCCACCTTTGAAAGTGCCTCCATTTTGTCCTCTCTGCTAGCCCTGAGTTCACATCAGAGAAGGGCTTTTTAGTGTTTAAAAAAAAAAAAAGTAGTCTTCTCATTTGGTAGCATTTGCCTGTTGCAGGTATATAACAATTCATAAACAATTATGCTTGTTGCAAAGGAAGCCAAAATGTTTCTGGTTTTCTTCACAATGCCAGACAGCCTTGATAATGAGCTGTAGCTCAGCTCTGAGTTGGTGAAAATTGGGATTCAAGGGTGACAAAGCACGTATCCATTGTAAAAAGATGGGACTGATCCTCCAGCAGTGATGTTCTTCGGAGCATTATTTTTTAATTTTTTTTTTTGTTTTTCTGGGCTATGCCTTCATAAGTGCCTTTACCATTCACTCCTAATCAAAACCCTGCCTGTATCAGGTCTTCAAGCCTTAACCTGCACCAGCTCTTTCTGACAAAATGTGTTTATCCCCAACTGCAGTGGTAATTGGAGCTTGGTTCCTGAGCCAGCTGGTAGTGAGTTGGTAAAAGAGAAAGACATAGTACAGAAGTCCTATGGAATTACTGTACACTAAGGGCAGACAAACATCTCTTGCTCCTTTCTGCCTCATCAATGCTTACTGCTGATTAAAAAAAAAAACCCAAAAAACCAGCATGTTTTCACCTAAGCTGCTCTATGAATTGTCTGTTATTGCAGGATGCTTCTTTTTGTACTTCTCAACTCTGAGAAAACTTAAACCTGTGCATTGTAAAGGAGAAAAGAGAATAAGAAGGAAAAGGAGGAAAAGGGCTCCTTTTCTAGTCCCTCCAGGGTAGCTATTCATCTCCTTTATACGAGTAAAAACTGTAAAGAACCTACTTCATCTTTATTCTAGCATCATGAGGACGTCTATGGTTTTACTTATTTATTTTTGCATAGAAAAGGTAAATTGTTGCAACTTACTGAATTGCTGCAAAACTAAGTTTGTTCTTGTTCTTCTTCAGGCAAAAATGTCTGCAGCATGCGACTTCGTTGCACTCCACACTGGGCAGAAGATGCCTCTCATAGGACTGGGAACTTGGAAAAGTGAACGTGGCCAAGTAAGCAGAGAACAATACAATATTGTGCTCTCAACTAGTATTTGTGTTTTGTGCACTTCTTTGAAGATCCTAGGTCTGAGGCCTGGATCCTTCGCTTGAATGGTTTTAGTCTTAGGTCCACTGAAGTCAGTGGAATGTATGTATGTATTTCTATGATGAAGGCCTTAAGGCACAAAAGCAGCATCAGAAGATCCCTTAAGACTTGTTAACCTAGGCCTCAGGCACTGGAGCTCTGGGAGGTGAATCCAGAAAGAGACCAATGAGTGGAGCGAGACAGGGAAAATGCTGTAGCTATAATATGGTGCCCGACTCTTCCACTTGTAAATCCTCAGGCGGCCAGTTTGACCAGACATCCCTCTGGCTTGGGCTGATGACTCAGCTGAAAGCATTATTTTGGGAGGCAAGAACTCTAGTTGTTCTTGTAATAGGTCCTGTTCCAGCAGTCAGCCTATGTTTAGCAGAAAAACAAACAACTTGCTTGGGTCATCCTGCTTTTAGACTAAGAGGGGTAATGTGTCATTAGACATTCACTCTGCTTCTAAATGCAATAAGTTGACAAATGCCACACTTGGAAACAATTCTGTGTGTTACTACAAACTGTCTGTGGGAATGTTTGCATGCTATGGACTGTGCCTCCTATTGTAATACTTCTCCCCCTTGTCTGTCTTTTCCTTTCTGTTTCATTTAGTTAAAAGATAAATTCTCGGGGGAAGAGATTGCACATACTTGCTGTGAAAGGCAACGTCCATTGCTTGGTGGAATTCTTAGCTGGTATTGTTGTTTATAATGCCTTTTGGATTACGTGTACCATTGCATGTCTGTGCAGTAAATGTTGTGTATCTTGCTGCTACTCTTGCATTAGCTTCATGATGGTTTTTGGAGTACATCGGATGACACTATGCTCTTGACTGAGAGGGAAAGTTAAAACCCTTCTCAAGATGTTGTGCTATTCTTTCATGCCAGCTAGAGGAAAAAGTTGGAAACAAGCAATTTTTAGAGCTATAAATCTATTCAGAGCCATTTTATCGTTGGTCTTCCTGTCCAAACAACTGTCAGGACAGTGGATCTGTTGGGAATAGCAGCTGTGCTAATGTGGAAGCTGAGTGGGTGTGAGAGCTCAGTCAACCACTTAAATGAGGACAAGGGTGAATGTTCAGCTCTGTCACTTAAAACATCAACTGACAGCTGAATTAAGTTTATTAACATGCAGGAACTTAATGGATGAATTTCTGTGCACCCAAAGCAGTTAAATGTGCATTGTCTAAAACAAGTGCCTGAAACTAAACAAACAAAATATGAATGCATTGTTTATTTTGTGCACTAACTGTTCTGAGGAAAGTGCGATCTTGTAAAAGAACCGGGAAGGATCCTGCTTGTGCATAATTTAAACCTAATTCAGATAGATTTTGCCTTAGTAAGCAGCACTTCTAGCAGCTGAACCCCAAATGGGATCCAGCCATCTTCTCTAGGGTCCCATGGAAGTCATTGGGAGTCACTTCTTTGGAATATCTACTATCTTCAAAGACTTATTCCTAGAATGTATTGAAGGCAAAATCTAGAAAGTGCAGTGAAAATGGCCAGAGTTACAGAAGTTTCTGCTATTCCTGTCAAATAAATAAATTCCTGTTTATCACTTTTGAAAATTCAGAAGCATAGCAGCAATTTGGTGGAGTGTCCAAACGATTTAGCCTTAAAAGGACATGATGTTGTTCAGGGACAATAATTGTAATTATGAATTAAAGACTAAGGGCCAAAAACCTAGAGAAGCAGAAGAACTATCCTTGATTATATTAAATCTAGCTGTTTCCCAAGTAGAGGCTATTTATCGAAAGCTCTTTTGTGCAAGGGCTGCATTAGAAGCAAGAGTGGAAGTGGATGGCTTTTAAATTATTTCAGGTAAATATTTTGCAGATTGTAATTATTTTCCTTGCCAAGCTGCTTTTCAGTCTTGACCTTACTCTCTTGAGTAATTTCTTTATTATTGCTGTTACTATTCCTGATCCTAAACAAGCCTTGGCCTTGTAGCCAGATCTTAGCAGTCCAGTACAAAGGCGTCATTGCAGCCCTAGTTTCCTAGATGGTAAGAATAGGGGGGGGAAATTATTGAATCTAAATCCATGTTGGAAGACTATAGGATGACCAGGTGACCCACCTAGTGGATGAGGGAAAGGCTGTGGATGTGGTCTACCTGGACTTCAGTAAGGCCTTTGACACCGTCTCCCACAGCATTCTCCTAGAGAAGCTGGCAGCTCACGGCTTAGACAGGTGTACTCTGCGCTGGGTAAAAAACTGGCTGGACGGCCGGGCCCAGAGAGTTGTGGTGAATGGAGTTCAATCCAGTTGGCGGCCGGTCACGAGCGGTGTTCCCCAGGGCTCAGTATTGGGGCCAGTTCTGTTTAATATCTTTATCAATGATCTGGATGAGGGGATCGAGTGCACCCTCAGTAAGTTTGCAGACGACACCAAGTTGGGCGGCAGTGTTGATCTGCTCGAGGGTAGGAAGGCTCTGCAGAGGGACCTGGACAGGCTGGATCGATGGGCCCAGGCCAACTGTATGAGCTTCAACAAGGCCAAGTGCCGGGTCCTGCACTTTGGCCACAACAACCCCATGCAGCGCTACAGGCTTGGGGAAGAGTGGCTGGAAAGCTGCCTGG